AATGTTATTGATAGAGATGAAAACTGAATTGAAAAGATTATGAGAAACTAGCACAAAAGTAATAAAGTCATGTCAATTCTGCTCAAAAAATTTTACCTATACCAAAAATTATTAATGATTACAATTATCATATGGGAGATGTAGACATAGCTGATCGGTTATGAAGTTACTATTCTACACATTTAATTGTTCACAGGATATGGATGATAGTATTCTTTTGGCTACTTAACACCTCTATTATCAACTCCTTTCTTATTTGTAAAGAATTAAAGTTATGTGATAATCATAAGGATTTTAGATTACAATTAGTTCATGATTTAATTAAAAATGCAACTAGTAATCCTTTAAAGATCAAGTTCTCAATGAAGAAAAATTTATATAAAAAAATACAGGGTAACAGATAGTTTTGAATTGCCTTTAAAAGATTAGTTGGTAATGATCATTTTCCAAAACATAAAGAAAATAGGGATGCTTGCTTGTGGTGCCATTATAGGTCTAAAAAGATAACGAAAAACTTCAAAAAATCCTTCTCAATCCATTATCTGATGTAGTGGATGTGTAGCATTATGCTGTAATAAGCAACGTTCATGTTTTTAAGGAATTTCACACGATTTCTGAATAATAGCAATTAATTAGTAGTTTTCGTTACTATTGGAAAGTTGAATTTTTATATTTTAACCCTTTTATATTATTGGCATATCAAAATTAACATTTTTGGTATAGGATATGCATAGCTACGGCGTGATCGCAAGGTGATATAGTTAATGCTACCTTTTTACTATAAAAAGAAATTTAAAATTACTTCGAAATAATATTTAAAGGATTCTTGTCAATAAAAAACGCCTGGATATTGTGAATTTCACGTGATTGGATGATCGAATTTATAGTTAAAAGTACTTCGAGATTTTTAAACTTTACAAAATAATAAAAAAACAAACCCGAAGACCAAATATGTCACCAACTATTTACTATCGTTAGACCGTGTGTAGACACTATATACCAAGAAAGATCAATAAATTGAAGGTACTGATTTATGATCAGAAAATTTTCCCATTAGTAAAATTTTTATTTTTATTCTATATAACGTTAAAAAATTATATATAAGATTTTATCGCTTAAGATCATTCTTTAAGCAGAATCAACTGTATAAAATTTTCATAATCATTGCTAAATATTTTTTAATAGTAATCGACTTAGAATATATAGTATAAGTAGTAAAGAACTTTTGAACAACTGTTCAAATTAGTTATTTATCATCCAGGTTTTTTGGCAGATCGATGTTCTGAATCATCAACTTCTCTATAAATAAAAAAATATTATTTATATATTAATCAAATATGTTGTTTATCTTGATACATATTTTTGATTAATCTACTTACAATTTACGTTTTCCAGAAGCTCTAGGTTTAGGACCCCAATTCTTTTCAGGATTTTGTTGAAATCTTACCAACTTAACTTTTCTTGAAGGAGGTTCCGCATCTTCATGTATTTTAAAATCTGCAATAAAACTGTGAACGACAAATATTAATTAAATGACATAAGCATTTTCCGAAAATTAATTTCATTTGCAAACCTTGGTTCGACTGCTAATAACTTTCTTGCGGGAGAATTCTCTGCAATATTCTTCATTGTAACAGGATGAAGTTTTACCTAAAGATGAAATTTTAAATTATTATTATTATTTTTAAAGACGTAACTATATAAAGTAATATATCTATCTACCCATGATCTCATTACGTCCCAAACTACATCTATTGGAGCATCAGTTTTTACTGATCCTGCCATTACATGCGATGCTGATACTTGATATCCTTTATTCAACAGTGCTGAACTACAAAAATATTAATAATATTATAATTTTTATTTAAAAAAATAAAAGGAAAAAAAATCATAAATGGTATTTAATATTATTACCAAAATAGTTTCAATGATGGATTTATACAATTCAGTTTACTTGAAAGCATTGAAATACTATGAAAGAGTGGAACATCAATTTCCTATTAAATTGACAGGAATTAAATTAAATTTTCTCGTTTTCAAATTTAAGGTGATGAATGTTCTTAAATTACCTCTGAAATTACTGTTAACATTCCTAACATACGTGCATGAGTGCCATACACGTCTGTATTTGAATTTTTTACATGCGTAAGCATTCTTTGAACAAATTCTTTATCATGCATGGAAGAGTTCCATATAGGACCTCCAACCTAAAATATTTTTTTTAAATTTTTGAATTAAATAGTTTCTCCTTAAAGAACAAAAGAATGGTAAAATCATTCGCGTCATAATTACATGAAATTTATTTTCACAATGTATACAATTGCTAGTAACAATAGGTCCAACCATCGGGACAAACTTTTTTTCTGTCATCTTAGCTAATGGCTGTAAATAAAATGATTTACAGCCTGAACACACGTATACATGTGATGCTTTACTAATATTAAAAAAATCATTAACTTAATATATCTCAATGATGTAAAAAAAAAACCTTTTACATGAATATTTCTTTTTTGCTTACCAGCAATTTTTCTTTACTTCAACAGCTGAGATTACAACACGAACAAATACTCTAATATAAAAATCTATACTACATGACACCAAAGGAATTATTTGTCTTTGATATCTCGCTGCACATGTCGATAAAGTATAAAGAAGGATTCTTAAAGCCTTTCATATAAAAGATATTTATTTTAAATTCAAGTTGCAGAGTATTTCTGTAAAAAATATATAAATTATAAATAACGAACCATTTCATGACAAAATTCTCCTTTAACGGGTATCGATCCATAATTTGCATAACTAAAAAAAAAAAGAAGCAAATTTTTTTTATTTAAAGAAATTTTTATTTATAATAAATGACTAGATAAAACATTTACCATTTTTCGGGATAAGTTGAACCGGTTAGAACAGCCAAATCGGTGCAAGTGATGCAAAGCAGGCCTAACCTATCAGCCAGTAAGAATGAATCGAAATTGAAAATAAATATATATATAACAATTTGATCATACCTCCATTTTGTACAGACTGTACCGCCGCATCTAGAAATGGTGCGGCTGTTCCATATGGATCAATATCGACAACATCAAATCTATTATGATATTCTCGATGCTGATACATAAAGGAACTTTAATTAAAAGAATGATTTCAGTAAATCAAATCATTTCAAAGATCACAAAATTTACAAGTATAAGAGCTTACCATGCATCACCTTGATTTGCTCTGACTAATTCTTTACTCAATTCATTATATTCCACATTCCTATTAATTGAATCAACAGCATCAACATCAAAATCATTGGCCACTATATAATCGATGTTGGGTATTTCCCTAGCATAGCGAATCGATCTCAAGCCACTTGCTGCCAAGGCCTCTAATATGGTAAATGAATTAGCCTTTGACTTTGCTATTGATGTGCCAGTTTCATGTTTTTTACGTGCTTTTTTTTCTTTTTCTTCTAAATAAATTTCACTCCAAGTTCTTATTGCAGCGACTGACATATCCCTATTAAATTGTTGTACATTATTATAAAATACCGCATTATCTTTTGGAAATAATATACTAGCTTTCCCTTCGGTAATTATACTGAACTCATCACTTTCAATATTAGTCATGTTTTTAATAGAATTTGAGTTTTTTCTAGTTTTACTGCTTGTCGAAATGTATAGGGATTTCTGATTTATTCTTGTGCTAATTCTACCATAATGATAATTGCACAAGAGCTTATTTATTTTTTGAAAAGCCACGATACAACAAAAAAAGTAAAAAAAAATCAAATTCAAAAATGTTTGAAAAATTAGATGTAGTCAAATTTTCATTAAAATTCACGTGAGATTGGCTATCATTATAAAATTTATCAATACATTTAATCCCTTCTTTATACATATATATAAGATTTCAAGCAAATGCTTTTACAAAAAAAAAAGGATTAAATTATTCAACCACATTTTTAAAGTTAATCTAAATCTGTATTTTATTGAGATATCAAGTAAAAATATAAATTGAATTATACATTCATTTGAAAATCATCAATAAATATTTAAACAAACCAAATTTTTAATCTATATTCAAATTTTATTTAAAGTTATTTATCTAATAATGAAATATTTGGTATTAAAATTTTCATAATTTATTGCTAAATATTTACTAAAATATTAAACAAAATATATGTTAAAATTTAAAATATATGTATAATTCAATTTAACATTTTATTTGATATCTTAATAAATATTAAATAAATTATTTCTAAATTAAATGTTAGATATTTCATAACTAGATAAATAGTTTTACTTAAAAATAAACATAAATTTAGATACAGATTTAGTAAAATTTAATTTTAATAAAAGTATTTGAATAATTTTTATATTTTATATAAAAAATAAATATAATTTCAATTTTATTTAATATTTTAATAAATATTAAATAAATAGTTTGAAATTTGATTAGTAAATATTTTATAATAAGATAAATAATTTTACACAGATCAAATAAAAAAATATCAGTATACTAAACATTAGATAAATATCAAATTACATTAGAAAAATAAAAATTTGTATGATAATCTTTAAATATATTAAAAAAGATCAAATATATCTATTAATATATGATAGCATATTAAACAAATACTAATATGTTACAATAAAAATTAGATTTTTTCAGAAGTTTATCATTTAATTGATAAATTCAATAAAAATCTTTAATTTTATATATTTATATGTATAAAATCAAAAAACTTATCAAAAATCTGATATCTTCTGATTTCTTATTTGAATTTTTTATTTTGATTTTATAATATTAAAATAATTAATATATTTTAAGTTATTTCATAATAAATTTGTACATTAATTAATTTGTATTAAAATAATTAGTATATTTTTGTAAAATAGTATAAAGAATTAAAAGAATTATGAAATTGATAATGAAAAATAACTAAATTTAAAATATATAATGATAATTTAAATATAAAATTTTTTATTTATTATAATATTTAAACATATATAATTTTAGATTTCTTTGCTTAATCTTAAAATTGAATAAATTGACATAAAATATAATGTTTAAAAACGATATAATCTTTTTTAATTTTATAAAATTCATCATTCTATAATTCAATAATATAAGAATTTTTATTATTATTAATTTTATAATAAATCTTATTTTACAATTATTTATTAATTTATACTATTTTATAAAAGTCAAATAATGTACAGTCAATTTTCTCTAAATACATCCTCTCAGAACTATAGTAAAAATTTTAAAAAAATGTGTATTTAAAGAGAGTATGCATTTAAAGAGAAAATTTCTATATGAATTTTATATATTTAAGACTAAGCGAAAGCATGCATTTAGAGAGAAAATATATAGTATGTGTATTTAGAAAGGATGTATTTAGAGAGGTTGACTGTATTCTGAAATCATCTTCTAAGTAAATAATATGCTTAAAAAAATTTAGATCAGACTGAAATATATACAGGAAGTATAAAAAGTATTGGCCACCCTAGTTAACATGACGCAAAAGTGGCACGTATTATTATACCTCTACTGAATTAAGTTATAATTTCCATTTTTAATTGTATGTGACTGTGTCTAATTAAAAATATAAACAAAATGTCATTGTGATATACAGGGGGTATAAAAAGTATTGGCCAGTTTTGAAAATTATATTATAAGATAATTAACATATTAACTTTATTTTTATTTTATTTTATTGAACTACAGGTTAATATTTTGTTAGACCTCCATTTGCAGCAAGAACAGTTTGAACCTGACGTGGCATTGACTTGATCAAATTTTGATAATAATTTACAGGTATTGCATCCTATTCCTCCTTAACCCACTACTCCAACTGCATAACACTTGATGGCTAGAAATTACGCTTACGAATTCTAACCTCAATATATGACTAAATATTTCTATAGAGTTAATATCTGGGCTTTGCGTCGGCCAGGGAAGCAACTCAACATTCGAGGATTTGATGAGGAAACATGTGACTTTTGCAGTATGAACAGGTGCATTATCTTCTTGAAAATAAAATTTTTTTTTGATCTTTTTCGTATGAGACTTAACCGTGAGAATTGCATAATTAACCAAGATATTATGATGCGTATTTCCAGTTACGCAACCAACTAAAGAAACCAAAAGACCCATATTGACCCAAAAAAACACCTTCAGAACATGCGACTAAAGCTCTTTTGAACTGTGGCTGCAATGCAGTCTTCGTAAAATTCTTCATAAGGTTTACACTATATTCGCCCAAAATCTGACATTCTAAATTGTGTGTAAGTAGACTTGTATGACTATACTACTTTTTTAAAATCTTCTACAATCCAATTTTTGTAAGTACAAATCTAAAGTAAATGTCTTTCTTTATTAATTTCAGAAATTAATAGAATGAAGTGAGGAATGTGCAAATGAAGACTTTGTTTGACCAATTCATTATGGACGGTTTGTTTGGAAATAGTTTTATTTATTTTATTTATAACATTTAAACGTATTTGAAAGAGGGTTTGACGTCAGGTTTTTTTATTCCTAATCACTAAACATTTAAGATATTTGCATTCTGCTTCGTTAAGAATTTGTGATCGACCTGTTTATTTCTTCAGAAGTTGTTTTAACTCATATAATTTCTATACATATTGAATAGAGGAACAAGAGCAACCAACAACTGCAGAGATTCTGGAATTTTGAATGGTCTAATTTTTTTGCAGCAATAATTCCTTCTTTTTGAATATTACTAAGTTCTTTCTGAGACACATTGTTGCAATAAATTTTTTCTTACTATATAATGTAAAAAAATTTTTCGTATGCCCAAATGACCTCATTTATATATTACAATGACATTTTGTTTATATTTTTAGTTAGACACAGTCACGTACAATTAAAAATGGAAATTATGGCTTGATTCAGCAGAAATATAATGACATGCATCACTTTTGCATCACATTAACCAGGGTGGCCAATACTTTTTATACCTTCCTGTATAAATGAGGTTATTTGGGCATACAAAAAATTGTTTTACATTATATAGTGAAAAAAAATTTGTCGCAAAGATGTGTATCAGAAAAGAATTTAGCAATGTTCAAAAAGAAGGAATTATTGCTGCAAAAAAATTAGGCCATTTAAATTCCAAAATCTCTGCAGTTGTTGGTTGCTCTTGTTCCTCTATTCAACATGTATAGAAGGCATATAAGCTAAAACAACTTCTGAAGAAACAAACAGGTTGACTATAAATCCTTAACGAAGCAGAACGCAAACATCTCAAGTGTTCAGTAGTTAGGAATAAAAAAACCTGACATCAAACCCTTTTCCAAATACGTTTAAATATTATAAATAAAATAAATAAAACTATTTTCAAACAAATTGTCTGTAATAAATTAGTCAAACAAGATCTTCACTCGCGTATTCCTCACTTCAGTCCATTAATTTCTGAAACTAATAAAGAAAGGTGTTTACTTTAGGCTCGTACTTATGAAAATTAGACTGTAAAAGATTTTAAAAAAGTAGTATGATCAGACAAGTCTATTTACACATAATTTAGAATGTCAGATTTTGGGCGGGTATGGCGTAAACTTTTTGAAGAATTCCACAAAAATTGCATTATAATCACGATTCAAAAGAACTTTGGTCGCATGTTCTGGGGGTGTTTTTCCTAGATCAGTATGGGTCTTAGTTCCTTTATTTGGTTGCATAACTGGAAATACACATCATAATATCTTGATTAATTATGCGATTCTCACGGTTAAGTCTCATGTGAAAAAGATCAAAAAAAAATTTTATTTTCAAGAAGATAACGCACCTGTCCACACTGCAAAAGTCGCACATTCTCTCATCAAATTCTCAAATGTTGAGTTGCTTTCCTAGCTGACGTAAAGCCCAGATATTAACTCTATAGAAAACATTTAATCATATATTGAGGTTAGAATTTGTAAGCGTAATTCCCAGCCATCAAGTATTGTGCAATTGGAGCAGTAGGTTAAGGAGAAATGGGATGCGATACCTGTAAATTATTATCAAAATTTGATCAAGTCAATACCACATCGGGTTCAGGCTATTCTTGCTGCAAATGGAGGTCCAACAAAATATTAACCTGTAGTTCAATAAAATAAAATAAAAAAATAAAGTTAATATATTAATTGTCTTGTAATAAAATTTTCAAAACTGGCCAATACTTTTTATACCCCTCTGTATCAATAATAATATCATTTAAAATAAAGATTTTATTATAAAATTAAAATTTAAAAAGTATTGTAAATAAACCTTTAATATATTAAAATATTAAGCATTTATACTTAAACTTATACTAAATCTTTAATTTTAATATAAATCATTAAATAATCTTATAATTATATTGATAAAAAATTTTTTAAATATATAAATTTATATATTATTATAATGATAATTAACCAATTTATTATTTTTTATTATTATCTAAATAATACTTGATTTTTACATATTATATGTAAAATTATTTATATAATCAAAAAAATATTTATCTCTTAATCTATTTACTTTATAATAATTTTCTTGTTTATATTAGTAAAATACCTAACTAATATGTTAAGTCAAAGATTAATTAAAGTCTTTTATATTATTCTAAATAATATTTAAATATAAATATTAAAATCTATAAAAATTAAACATTATAAAAATATAAAAAATCATATATTTGAATTATTCTTTGATTTCTAATTTATGTTTTAAAATAATTTTGACAATTTTTTAAATATTAATTTTAATTCAAAAAATAAAATACACACAATGTGAAAGTAGAGGTTTGAGGATTGAAAGTCTGATCTTCTACTGAAATATTGTATGTGGGTCACAGAACGTTAAAAACAATATCAATTTTTTCTTATATAGGACATACTGCAACAAAACCAGACAAAATAAACATTTGTAATTGTCAAAGATTCAGGGATCAAAATTTAGTCATTTGTAATGTGATTATAATTAACAGTTTTATAATATTCCATTTGTTATCTTAAGAATTACCTCTACATAAAAATAGTTAATATGAAGTTAATTTACATTAGGTCTACCATAGAACTAAAGAATTACAGCACTATTAAAAGTATTCTAAAAAAGGAACAAGGTGAAAAAATTGCTCCTTACATATTCAAAATAAAAGATACTCAAACACTGGAAGCTTATTTAAGAAAAGAAAAGATTACTTATGAAATTTACCAAGAAGAAAGAAAAATAATAAATGTTGGAAAAAGAAAGCATCATGATGATGCATTATTTCCTAATAAAAAGCAAAATCTTTAAAAGGAAAATAACCATCATTTTCTTTAATAGTTGAAATGAATTTTAATTTATAGAGAAGAAAATTACTTTCTTATTTCAACTATGATCATCTTTTAGTCTCTTTGACTTTAATTTGAGCAATTTGACCATTCTGTTAATCTTTTAATTTCCTGTTTTCTTCTTCTAGATGATTAATTTTCTCTTCTAAACTTTTTATCTTATCTAACAACTCTTGTTTTTGCCTTTTACCTCGCTTTTCTGATTTCTCTTGAAACTTGGCTACTTCTTCTCTTTTAATGTTTAACTTTTCTTTAGTAGCGGATAATTCTTTTTCTAGTTCTCTAGTCTTGTTTTCTAAACGGTAATTAAATAACCTAGACATCAAGTCTTCTTTAGAAACAAGTTAAGTTGATTTGTTTTTCTCTAAACAACAAAAACATCTCTTTCTATTTCTTTTTGTTCTACCACACTTTTCGCATCAAGGAAGAACATTACTATCAAAATCTTGTTTACATTTGTTACAAATAAAAGCTGTATCAGTATAATCACTAGTTTTTTTGTTTAATGCTACCATTTTGTGAATAGCAAGAGCAATATTTAAAGCGAGGTTATTTGGATCATCATAGTCTAAGACACAAAAATCATATTGTCATTCATGACCATCAGTTAATTCTAATACTCTATACTCTAATTTCATAAATATTATTTGTCTTTTTGAATAATAAAAGCTTGAAACTTCTCTTGAGTTCTATTCTTTGTTCAATTTAACCCACTAAACATTTATTTAAACTTATATTACCCTCAATCTTTACTTTCTTTAAGATTCTTGATTTGACTGTTCTTGATTGTTAGAATATTTTCCAACTTTTTTACTTATTGCCAAAGGTTACGCCTTTCTTTGTCATGTCTATCTTTCATTTCATCAACCTGTCTTGCTCTTTATATACTTGCTGTTTTCAAAGCCTTTTCTGCTTCTTCACGTTCCATTTGAACCTCCTCCTTTGACTCTTCTAGTTTAGTTTCTAATTCCTTATTCTTTACTTCCAATTGCTTATTTTTTTCAAGCAATTCATTTCTCTCTTGCTCTAAACTAGTTGTTAAGAATTGTAAATTTTTAACTTCTTTATCAACTTTTACATATGAATCAAGTGCATTCTTATGCAAGTAAATAAAACGAACAAAACTTTCTCTAAATTTTTTGTCTTCTAAATGCTGTAATGCATAAGGGCGAAGTCAAAAGTAATTTATAACTGCTCTTATCTCTGCCTCACTTGGATTTCGGTTTAAATTACTAATTAATTTTCTTATTTCCTCTTCAGTTAAAATATTGTTTTGGTTTGTCATGATTTTACTTTTTTTTTTTTATTTTTTTAATATACTTATATCTTTTTTATAGGCATATTAAGTATATAAATTATTTTAGTGCTTTTTTACTTTAAAACTAACAATATTTGTCAAAAGATTAAGCTTATTAAACTTAATGACAGTAAAGGCAAATTAATTAGTGATGGAGGTGATTTTATTCTGAATATTTTATTTGTTGCCAGTATAGAATAGTCTTGGACAAGTAACATCTTTATATTCATCTTTCACAAATGGGCGAATATTATGATAAAGATACTCTTGTCTTTTGTAATCCAAAGGAGGTGGTATTAATACTAAAATAGATAAAGTTCTAATTTCTTCAAAAATATCTGCTTTCTTAATTTTTAATAAATTGAATTCAGTAAAAGGTCTATTAGCAATTTCCTGAGCTTTGACCATACCAAGATTAATTGCTTCAAAAAGAAAATGTTGATATTTTTGTATATTTGGTAATTTCTTAAAATAAATTCCTAAAATAGCTTTGATATCTAAATATTGAAAACCTTTTTCACCTTCATAATACTGAACTTTATTCAATCCTGCTGGACTAGAATTTTTTACCACTGAAACCACATGATCCAGATAATCTACTCTTGTTTTCTATAGAGTTTTTTAATCATGCCAAAATTACCATCACATTTGAATTTGATATGTTCTGGCACCATGAAATTTAATTTAATGCTTTTGTAATAACCATAAATTACTAAATATAAATAAAATCAAATTGTTACATTATTTTTATTTTGTCTACCAGCATTATCACAAGTAATCTTTAAATGTTTTTCACCTTTATTCAATTTCTTAATTCCATCAAAGATCAAACTAAGAGTTCCATTAGGACCTTTTCCTATAATTTCATCTTCATTAAGAATATAATTAATTTGTTTCCTTACTGCTTCATCTTGAATACCAAATAAATGAACTTTACATAGATTAAGGTAATAAATTTTACTTATTTGTTGATCTAAATATGACACATGAACATTTTGAGCTTAATTATAACTACAATAAGTAGTAGCATCAATACTGCAATATTGTGTTTTATTCTTGGAATAATGTTGATCAACTAGTTTTCTTTGTTCTTCTGCTAATTTGGTATTTTTATTATAATAATTTCTTTCTAATTTGACCTTGAATAGATGTTCTTTAAATCTTTTGAGTAGATCTTTGGCTTCATCCTCTTGGCGAACATTATAATGTAAACTATCTCTAAAATGCTGACAAATATCACACAAGTCAGTCTTAGGACTTATAATTTGAATTTCTGGTGTCAATTGATATCATAATTTTCTGAATGCATCATATTTTAAAGATTTCAACTTGTTGTTTTCTTCCAGACCAGCTAGAAAATCTCTATGTACTGATTTATAACTCATTTCAGCTGGTAAAAATACAATTGATTGAGTTATTCTATTGATACTTCTTCCTGGACTTGGTAATCCATGAACTTCTGCATAATTTCTAGAAAATTCTTTACTATTTCTGCAACACTTTTGTCAATTACCATTTTAGTTTTCCATTGAGGCATTCTTTTAATATTACCATGAATTCTTGGTAGAAGACCAATATTTATCAAATGATTTCTAATATTTTCAAAATAAGTTCTACCAATTCCTAACATATTAAGATAAGTTTCTTGATAAAGAAGTGTATTGTGATCTCAATGATAGAAAGTTCTTTTATTAGATCTAGTTTTCTTTTTAAGGCGTCTATTAGTGCTTATTGATCCACCATCCATTGCTTTAAATTGGGTCATTAAAAATATGTCTTGTTCTGATTTAGAAAGAGCTTGAAAAGATTCTCTTAATTCTGCAAATTTTTCCTTGGGAATTTTTGAAAAACAACCACAATTACATCCTTTTTCTAAAAAATTAATAGCTTTTCAATATTCATTAGAGCCATTGCACTTATTGCCTTTATTAATATTTTTCATATACACTTATCCCTATATATATAATTTTATGTTCACTTTGTAGGTTTTTGAAACATAAATTTTATCAAATAATAATAACAACTCTTATTTTGGTTTTTATTTCAGGTTAATGAAATAAAGAAAAAAATAGAAAATTACATGTCTTAATTTGAAATATGCAAATTTATCATTCATTGTTACTAAAGTATAAAGTTTTTTCATTATAAATAATAAATTTAACTTCAATATATTAAAATAATTCATTAATGATATATATAAATACTTAGTCCTCACCACCATTATTTATTTAATTTAATGTTGTTCTCAATAGGCAAAAATTCATAATATATATTGTTTTTATCATTTTTATTGGTCCAAATTATATATTTTTGATACAGTTAGTTGATTTTGACTTTAAATTTCTCTCACAATTTGTGTAGTTACAAAGAAATGTATGTACCATGAGGTAAATTAATCAAATTTGGTTTATCGTGAAAATCAAGCGGTCGCACAAATAATTTATGCGGAGGGACTATCAAACTTGAAATTTTCTTTTACAACTTTACTAACTTTCTCTGTTTCAATGGAAGGTTTCTCCAGTAGACCACTTTTCCGGTTCCTCACTCAGCCTAATGTCGTATCTACGATTAATTCTATAACCGCTGATAGTATATTTGACTACTATATGAGAGAAGGGCTAAACAGCGATTTTTCGCAACTATATATATGCTAGCTAAGGATTTAGAAGAAGTTCTCAAATCCAATTTCTTTAATGAAGATATAACACGTGTTTTGAGGGATATTAATGTCAATTGGGAGGTGAGCAAACATTTTGTGTATATACACAAGTATATGTTTATAGAGGGATAGAGCCTCTTGTTTTAGAGGGCTTAAGTATCAGTGACATATGAGGATTGCGGTCGCTCATATGATCCTGATCGGTGGCAACTTGGGGATTGCGGTCACTCAAGTTTGGAAGTCCGGGATTGCGGTTGCTGGACCTAAACCACTCCACTCGCATTACCTAATCATTTTCGATCTGATTTATGCCTTGAAACTAATATTATTGTTCTTTGTTTTTCTGAGACATGGAAAAAACAACGCATTCAAGCTTACAAACATGAAAAAGAGATCAACAAACAGAAGACCCACCGCGAAATTCAGTTTGTGAGTACATATTGGCTGGTTGTTTATTTTTTCTGCTATATAAATGGGTTCACTACAATATATGTTATTTTTAAAAGCAAATGAGCACCACAAAATACCAAAAAGGTGTTGCCACAGTTGTCGAAGCGGAGATTGACGAGTGGACCAAAGAAGCGGTAAACAAGCGACCTCGTGAAAATAAAAAGGAAGTTGCCTCTAAGAAGGTCAGCACAATATAACTTGTAGATAATAATTAGTCACATGAATTTCTCTCAAACTTTTTTTTTCTTCACAGATTAAAACCACCAAAGATCCTTTTGCATCTGCTTTCTCCGCAGATGATGATAACGAATCACAAGATCCATCACTTATTGAGAGTGACCTAATAGAATTTGAAAAAATGACAGATAAGTCATGTTCGAAACCTCTTGAAATACTTTCAACGGGGTCATTTGTTGATTTGAGGCAGGGAGGTTGTTATTACTTGGATAAAACCCACTTTATCCATAAAATAGAGGATCTCAAGACTCATGCCATTCTCTCTCTACGTCCTCGCCGTTTTGGAAAAACATTATTCCTCTCCACCTTGTCCTCATATTATGATATAAAAAACAGAGATCGATTTGAACAACTTTTTGGCGATTTATACATTGGAAAAAATCCCACACCATTAGCATCGTCATTTCTTGTTCTTGAACTCAATTTTTCTGGACTCCGCACCAGTACAACATATTATATCTTTGATGAGGATTTTCACCGAAGTTTGAATATATTTATGTCGGAGTTCATGTATCGATATCAACAGGAGTTGGGACAACATTTTCAAATTTATGATGAAAATACAAATGCTTTGGCAAATTTTTCGAACTTACTGAAGGCGGTGCGGTTGAGTGAGCACAAGGTATTTAGTTCGTCATCATCGCTAGTTATTTATCATTTCTATTTGAAAAAATGGTAATTGAATATTTTTAGCTCTACGTTTTCATTGATGAATATGATGCGAGTATGAATGAAACTCTTAAAAACAAACCCATTTTCCAAGATCTTACTAATCACAAAAAGGAAGGTGACTCTGTTAAAAGCAAAATTGAATTAATTGAAAGTTCGTTCAAACAATTCTACAGTCGTCTGAAGACTGCTTGCGATAAAGGCATTGCCTATGTTTTTCAAACTGGCGTAACCCTTATTGTTATGGCCGAGTTCACTTCAGGATTTAATATTTCAACAGACTTGGCACTAAGAGAAGAATTTTGGAATCTGTATGGGTTCAAGAAGTCAGAAGTAGAAGTCCTCTTAGAAAATATTTCTGAAAATGGTTTTCCAAATGACATTAAAAATGGAATAATCAAATGGTTGGAAAATGAATATGGGGGATATTATTTTAACCCTGATCAAAAAGAATGTATATTCAATACCGGTAGTATTTTATATAGTATTAAGATGCTAATTGGAAGAATAAAACATATAGAATATTGCAAGGATACTTCAATAATTATTAAAAAGCTTCTTCGATTTCCTCCTGATCCACACACATTGCCCTCTCAAACAACACTGGACTTAATTGTAGACAACCCCTCGGGTAAATCAATACTTACTGAAGCGATCGGACAATTTTCTCTTGAATCTAAAAATGGTATCGAACAACGATTTCGACTTGCGAACATTCGTGAACTGGCCACAGATCGTACCCCATTGTTGTCTTTCTTGTTCTATACCGGAGCTCTTACCTATCAACCAAACGGTTTATGTTTCAGTTTTCGGATTCCGAATAATATTTCAAAAAGAGAATTCATAGCAGAAGCTCTCAAAATTCATGAATGGAAAGATGATGATTTAACACCTGTTCGACAATGTTTACAGATTTTGGAGGGAAACGATGATATCGATCCATTATGTCGATTTGTTGAAGAATTATTACTTAAACCCTTGAAAGACAATAGTATTGTACACTCCAACGAGGAAGTATTAAAGCAAACGTTTTTAGATACTTTGATTCTGACTTTACATGCTGACATTGAACCAGAGTTTCAAGTCTGTTTTAATAGCAAATATTCATGCGGGAAGGCTATAGATTTAGTAAAAACCAGCACGGGAAAACGAATTGCAATTGAGTTTGACAATATTAAGATGGAATGTATAAAGTTAGATGGAATTCATGATAGTTGGCAAGGGGCTACTCGAATCTCGCTATCATTAATGAAAAAATCCGAGGACGAAATTTTAAATCTTGAAATCAGTGATCATTACCGGTCAAATCAAAAAACAGTCCGTGAAGTTTTGGATTCGAAGATTAGAAAGAAATGCAACGATTATTTAGAACCATTGAAAAATCGACGAGATGCAGATTTGAAGTGCATGTTTGTTGTTTTGAGAGTCGGTTTACATCGTCTAATTAGCAGGAGGGTTTATTGAGTTATATTTTATATTAACCATTGAAAAAAGATTTTAATTTTATGTATGCGTGATAAGTGGTGGGCACAGTTCATCGAAAAATAAAAAATGTATGCACCAATATAATTGTATTATGCTATTAACCTTCTCATACACGATTCAGGAAAATAAAAATTCAGACTTGCACACTAATACACACAAATATGTATACTCGATTACGAAAATGCAATAAATTTTTTTATTTTGCCATTCCGCAAGCAACCAATATGCGGTTATACATCATTGAACATTCATCCTCTTATGAAATCATGGCGCATACTTTCGGTTTTTCAACTTGATCAAAATAATAACAATATGTATATTTGTACAGAAAAAAAATACAATATTATAAATTCATTTGAAGTTTTAACTCTATTCAGTGGGACCCAATTCTCGAAGATGCTCTGGAATAGCTACATATGGGTCTTCGTAATACCAAACATACCTTAATACAATCCAATTCTCTTCACACAATTTCTTTTTTAATTGATCCCGATATAACTGTTTGTTAAATCCATTCTGATCTCGATGAAAGAATTCTACATAACGCTCATGTTGTTCTCCTTGGACTTCAATTGCAAGACCATATTCTGGATAATAAATGTCAAGTTCTAATCCATATGGATATTCTGATGTTTTAAGAAATCAGGTTTCCGAATTTTTGATGAAGGTCCTAAATACTCGGTAATTATTTTTAACACAGATCTTCATATTTATTTTGACAAAATGGACACCACCTATTATGTTTTATATGATTCAAATTTGCGTTCCATTCATGCCCTTTTAGCACAACGCCATTGTAACGGAACCTGGCAATTGACATACTTTTCTGAAAGGCAGTTACCATTTTTACTATAAGCAATTTGTTTAGCTTCTTCAATAGTAGACCGAATATTACCTGCACAATGTGGACACCAGGTATTAGTATTTTTTACATGATTTAAATTTGCATACCATGTGTGTCCCTTAATACAACGCCATAATAAAGGTAAACGAATATTAACAAATGTTTTTGATAGACACTCGCCATTTCTATTATGCGCTACTTGTTTTGCGTCTTCAAGAGTACGACGGCCTACACGTGAACACCATGGACACCAATTTCTATCTTTTACATTACTAAGTTGAGCTTTCCATTTATGGTTTTTAGCACAACTCCATTCTAGGGGGATCTGATTCATTTCGTCGACAATTATTTCTCGACAATTATTTCGTCGAAAATTCATTTCGTCCGACAATTTGACTATTTTTGGTGTTTATAATAATTGATAATAATCATTGTTTTTAAAAATTGTGAATCAGATGAATTCCTTTTAAAGATTTTTGCTTTTTATTAGGTAATAATACATCATCATGATGCTTTCTTTTTCCAACATTTATTATTTTTCTTTCTTCATGGTAAATTTCATAGGTAATCTTTTCTTTTCTTAGATAAACTTCCAGTGTTTGAGTATCTTTTATTTTGAATATGTAAGGAGCAATTTTTTCACCTTGTTCCTTTTTTAGAATACTTCTAATGGTGTAATTCTTTGGTTCCATGGTAGACCTAATGTAAATTAACTTCATATTAACTATTTTTATGTAGAGGTAATTCTTAAGATAACAAATGGGATATTATAAAACTGTTAATTATGATCACATTACAAATGACTAAATTTTGATCTCTGAATCTTTGATAATTACAAATGTTCACTTTGTCTGGTTTTGTTGCAGTATGCCCCATATATTAGAAAAGCTTCTATCAGCTTTAGAATCTTAATTTCGATATTATATTTTAAAGCTCTGTATGGGTTCTTCATCTTCAGAAAGCATATTGATTTTTATTAATATATTAGAAATGGTTCTAACAGCTTTAGAATCTTAATTTCTATATCAATTTTTCAGTTATATTTATTAAATCTAATGAAAAATTATTATATCAGGAATTGTTTCTGCATGAGTTAGCTCTTTAAATTGCATATTAATTACTTAAGTCTAACCAAAATAAGTCTAACGGTTCTTATTACCCTATAAATAAATCTAATAAAAAATTAAGTCTAACGAAAATAAGTCTAATGGTCCTTATTACTCTATAAATAAATCTAACGATTATCTTAAGTCTAACGAATAATAATAAAATAAATCTAACGAAAAAATAAGTCTAACGAGATTTTTGTCCTAACTTTTCCTTAATCAAGAATGGGTTCAATGCAAGCTAGCTACTAAAAATCATATTATATAAAAGTCTAACGAAATGTCACCCCTGCAAAATCTATAAAATTGTCCTAACTTTCCTTAGGTAAGAATAGACTTAACATAGGCTAGCTTATCAAATAGCATAAAACTTTAACGAAAAAATTTAAGTCTAACTATTCCGCCTTGCTGAGAATTTTATAAGTTTAACAAAAAATATATATCAGGAATTGGCTTCGCGTTAGCTAACTTCTTATCTATTACATTATTTATTTAAGTTTAACGATTCTGCCCTGCCAGAAAATTTATTAAATCTAACGAAAAAACAATATCTTTCTATAAAATCCATAGAATTGTCTAAGAACGGTGGGAAGGGTAAGAAAAAACTATATCTACATTACCATTCTGAAGTTCTATGAACAAGGGGGAGGCAAATGTTCATTGAATATTATGCTTCAAATTCTAGCAAAATTTAGATAAAGAGAGCTGAAATAATCTTTTCGTTTATTCTAGCTGACATCTATCACAATATTTTCCCTCTTCTAGTTTTATCAGATAGAGGTATTCCTTATAAAGAGAAATATTAAGATTTGCAAGCGCATTATTATAGGCAAGCATTATTTCCTCATAAGTTTTTTCTCGTGTTCAGATTAGTCTTTCACGTATCTCAGATTGAAGTCTTTCATGTATCTCTAATTGAAGACTTTCTGATCGAAGCCTATCATAAAACTGAATAACATAATAGCCTCTGACATGATCTGGACATCGGTCACAAGCAGAAGCAGTTGGCTTATCACAATCAGAACATGGTAACCATTTTTTAATTTCTAATAAAATCGACATTCAGCAGACCTATTAGAAACTCTCTCTTAAACCTTTCCAGTATTGCAGAGAAATTGGCAGGAATATTTACTGATCATTCTATTTTATATTACTAAATATTGAAAGAATAATTAATAAATAGTTAATGCTTCAGTTTCAGAAAGATAACTAGAACCATTTTGGTAAGCCTGCAAATGCCGTTTTCACTAAATCGAAAAGTAATAGGTATATAGGAAATAAATAATTAAAGAAAAAATTATATAAGCAAGTAATAGCGTGATAGTTAGAGTTAACTAATATACCAAATGTCTAATACTTACCCAGAATATATAGAAGAATTTAGTATAAAGATTGCTGATTTCAATCTGATTAATCCTACTGCCTATATATCTTTACCAGAAACTTTGCCAAAATGTAATAATGAAATTATTAATATTCAAAATAATGATAACTAGTGTTTCAGTTAGAGTGTTTTAGAAGTTTTGCATCCAATTAAAGTTCATCTAAAAAGAAATCTACATTGGCTATATGGAGATTTTGTGGAGGAGCTTAATATAAATGATATTCCAGTTCCAGTGCCAGTCTCAATACCAGTTTATAAAAAGTTCGAAGAAAATAATTCTGAAATCAGTCTATATGTCTATGAATGACACAACCAAAACAAATATCTTAACTTTCACTATATTTCAGAAAAAAGAGGGGATGAATATAAGCAAGTAAATCTTCTAATAATTACGGAAGAAAAAAGAAGTCACTACTGTATTATCAAAGATTTACATAAGCTAGTATATAATCATAACAAACATAAAGGGCGAAAATACATTTGTCGTTATTGTTTTCATGTATACTCTTCAGAGATAAGATATAATGAACATTCACCAAAATGCAAAGGTCTAAATAATGCCTTCCAGTGATTACAAATGCCAGTTAAGAATAGGAGTATCAAAGCTTTTTATAACCATAAATATATGCAATCAAATCCATATTGCATTTTCTAGGATCTAGAAATATTAACCGAAAAGTTAATTCCCGAAGAGAAGATGAAGTTAACCCATACTGAAAGATTACAGATGCATAAGCTGTGTGACTATTACTATGTAATTATTCATATAGATAGTTTACTCAACTATGAAATCATAAGTCAAGATTTATATAGGGATCTAGATGCGCTTGAAAGATTCATTACAAAAATCGAGAAGGAGCTGGCAAACATACAGGAGGACTTATCTGCGTTTGCAAAAATGATAATAGTATCAAGAGATCTTAAAGCATACAATGAGACGACAGAATGCTAGATTTGCAAGAGACCTTTTTTAAAACTAGCACCAGAGATATTACAAAAACTCAAAGAAGCAAAGCATAATTTATTAAAAATCAAAGAATGGAAAACATGCATGAAAAAAGAACATAAGAGGTATAAAAAGATACTGAAAAGCTTTAAGTATACTTAATCGAAAAGTAAAAGATCATGATCATATAAATGAAAAGTACTGAAACTCAGCTCATGACTCTTGTAATAAAAATTGCGAATAGACTCTTTCGAAATCAAAGTGCCTCTTATATGTCATAATTTTCAGGGATATGACTCTCATCCGCTTATGAAAGTTGTGAGCAAGTTCACAGCTAATAAGCTAAATTGCATTCCAGAAAATATAGGAAAGTACAAAACTATAGACGTTAGTCAGCTCTGATTTCTTGATAGCTTTCAGCATATGAGAATGGAATTAGATAAATTAGTAGAATGTCTAGAAGGAAAGCTTGAAAAATTCCCTTAACTGTTAAGTACTTTACTGAGAAAGGCTAATCAATAGATAAGATTAAACTTCTTTTTCGAAAGGGCATTTTCCTATACGACTGGACAAATGTATGAGAAAAATTTGACAGAACAAGCCTACTACCTAGAAAGGATTTCTATTTGCTTCTTAGCCAACAAAATATTAGTAAAGAGAATTATGAACATGCTTAAAAGTATGGCAGGAATTTGAGATGAAGAATTTTGGAGAATATCATGACTTATATCTTGAAACTGATATACTTTTACTTGTAGACGTTTTCATAAACTACACTATTATATGCTTAAATAATGATGGCTTAGATCTCTCTCATTACGTATCTGCATCAGGAATGTTTAATGATTCTTTATACAAAAGTAGTAGAGCTGAACTTAAGCTAATAACAAATATAAATAAGTATTTGATGGTTTAGAAGGACATTCGTGGAGGCATGACAATGGCAAGTCACCATTATGCCAAAGCTAATAATCCTAAATATCCTGATTACAATCCAGGCAAACCAATATCTTAGATCTTATATGACAATATGAATGCTTTATATTCAGATGCGATGACCCAATATATGCATGCCTACAGAAATATTGGGAAAAATAAGCCCAGAACAGATTCTAGATATACAAAACATTGCATTAGATGCTGAAATAGAATATACATTGGAAGTTGATCTAGAAGCCCCAGTGCACTTGCATGATTTCTTTGCGAATTATCCTTTAGCATCAGAAAAGCAGATAGTTTCAGAAGAATGGTTAGCTTGCATAATGAAAGATTAGTACATGATAAAGAAGTTGGGGTGAAAAATATATAATAAGAGAAAAGCTTGTCTAAACTCTTTATTCCAAAAAGAACTACGTGGTCTATTATTGTGCACTCCAGTTATACATGAAAATGGGGATGAAAGTTACAAAGATTCATGAAGAATTAAAATTCAGACAGTCTCTATAGATGAAAGAATATATTGAGAAAAATATTCATAAACGCAAAATAGCTAAGGCCATTAGAATGAGTTTGGAGTTATGTACTATAAGTTAAAAAATAATACAGTCTTCGGCAAACAGATGGAGAATATCTGTAAACATATGAGAGTAGAATTACTCTAAACAGAAGAGGATAAAAAAATCAGACGCCTAGCAAGTTCACCATTATATGTAGGCTTTAAAGCATTTGAAGGGGGAATTACAGCAGTTCATATGTTAAAAAATACAGTAACTCTAAACAAACCAATCTATGTAAGGCAGACAATTCTCGACATTAGCAAAGCTATAATATTTAACTTTTAGTACGGTTACATAAAGTTTCATTATAAAGATAAGGCCTATCTACTTTATACAGATATAGACTCGCTCATAATGTGAATAGAAACTGAAGACATCTATAAAGATCGAGCAGAAAGACCAGACATTTTTGATATTAACTATTTAAGAGACTTGTTTCTAATGAAGGATGAGACAAAAGAGGATTCAATAGGTGAATCAGTATGCTTAAAGCCAAAAAAGTATTCAGTTCTTCTAGCAGGTCATGATTCTAAAACTCCTGAAACAGATGCAGATTTCAAAAAAGAGTTAGAAGAAGAAGAATTTAGAAAATCTCAGGGTGTAAAGTATTGGGAGAAAAAGTATGGCATTCAGAAGGCAAAGGGTGTAAAGAAATGCGTGATCAAAAAGGAGCTTCAACATGACAAGTTCCTAGAATATCTTAAGAATAAGAAACTAACTCAGTATGATATGTATAGTTTATGCAGTTACGATCATCAAATATATCTGGAGAGGGTAAATAAGATAGGGCTGAATTCATATGATAACAAGAGTTGAATCTTACTTGATGGAATTTGAACTTTCTCCTATAGACATTGGCGAATTGGACTATATAAATACCTGATAGTATCTGAAATATCTCTTAAGGAAGCAGAAGAAAGGGCTATGAAAGCTAAACTTTATATCAAAACATAGATTCTTTATAACAAATATTCTTTTGTGTAAAAAAATTATTAAAGAATATAAATTTATTAATTAAAGTTTTTCTATTGTTATAGTAGAAACAATACAAAAAATGGTTGATTAAAGATATAAAGCTTGTGCAAATCAAAGTCATAAAAACTGCATTGCGAAAAGGCAAAAAATATGATAATCTTGCGAAAAACTATGAAGACTATCTAAAGAAATTGCAAGCTGAAAAGAAACTGAATGACTATATTAAGACAAACGCAGTCAAGATATTTTCCAATGAAGAGGCATACACTCTAAGGCTAGAAAATTATCGCAAAAGGTATATAGATAATAATCTATGTGCTAGTCTAAAGGAATTATATGAGCTTTATTATGATATAGTCAAGGGGGAGACTCGCAAAAGATCAGATGATAAAATAGAACAAATGCTCAAAACAATATCAATTTAACTGTCTTCTGGCAAAGCTTTTTTTTAATCTAGACTAGTGAATGGTGAATATATAGGGAAGACAAGTTACAGCATTAACATGAATATTATATATTTTTTCTGATGTATAAGCAAGAAGGTAGGGAAGTCACTATGCATACATTAATATTATTTTTTTAATTAAGAATATAGGCTCCTATAACAAAGTATGGGGTTTATTAGCAATTTGCATAATATGAAAAGCTTAGATGAAATTATAGAAAATGCAAATAAAAATATTAAAAAGGTGTTTCTAGCAGGGGGTTGCATCTGAATTTTGATAAGAAGCCTATATAATTGGTCTTAAATTAATATTAGATAGATTGGCACAGGAGCTAGAGTTTGCGTAAAAAGATGGTAGTTCTTCTAAGCCAGCCAGTTTGAAGTGGTGAATATTGTAAACAGTCACTACCATAGCTAGACTAGTGATATGATGCATATATTCAGTATTTTACATAATTATTTTTTGCATATACTAAAAAAAAACTATGTATGCTAACTAGTACTTTATTTTTTATTAAGTATAATTGCTCTATTAGCAAAATGTCAGATGACGAAACAGATAAAGGTTATAATGAATTTATCAAAAAATATGGATCGAGATATGAATAGGATAATGAAGGGAATCCTGAATTTATATCAGAATAACAAGACTAAGAAGATCTATTTTATGAAATCAAAATCTATTAGAAGACAAAGGCAGTCAGGCATTGGAGGAGAAAACACTTAAATGATTTGTATATAGTCTGCCCAGTGTAAGAAATCTAATGTCATTATTCTATGTACTTTTACAATCTGATGCTATTTATCTTTTACAAATATTAAGTCTGATAGAATTGCCATATTATTCGCTTGAACTTTGAGAGGAAATATGACCAGATGGTATTGATAAAAATGAGATTAAAGTAGATGACAATACAGATAAGGTAGATAAGTTCTGGTATAGGTTATTGCTTCAAGGTGAAGACTTAATAGTGGATTATTATTCGAAGATAAAGAGATGTAACAATGTTATCAAGCTCTGTAAAAATTATCTTAGAGAAGTATTCCATAAAGGATTGTTACCAAAAAGTCAAAAGTATATCACAAGATTTATATATTATTATGATCACGATCTTGATTCTGATAAAATGGTAGAAATGCTTATTCAAGCTGAAAAGAAAAATGTATCTAATTTTATTACTGCATTTAGTGATTATCTTAGTCAGACTAATAATGTTCAGATTTTGACCCAATCTGGATTTTCTAATAATAATTTCCCTGAAGGTGCTTTGATTATTTCTGCTTTTTTAAATCTAGAATTAATGAGATCCTATATGCAGGGGTGATACACTACCAATCTAGCTAGTCCAGAGCAGTGACCACCAGCTCAGAAGAATTTACTGAATCACAGATTGTGTAACAAAAAAATATAGATTAGCTAACCTGTTCTAAACATGGGCACTATCTGGTACTAGATAGATTTTTGACGAATATTTCATATAATTGTTGAGGAGAGACCTTTGGAAATAATGGAAACCCTTTTCTGATAGAATAAAACATTTTTACCCCTTTATTGATAAATTTCTGTATTAGCACTTTGAAATATCTTCTAAGGAACTGTGAAACTCTTCAAACTTTTGGAGATATACTCTTGCATTTTTATCAGTCTTTTCTGCTCCTTCTTGGTTAGAATAACTAACAATACCAAGTTTTTCTTGAATTGCTATTATATCATCTTCCAAATACATAAGCAAATTAAATATCTTCCTCAATGAAATATCTGTAGAAGCTTCATTGCTTCGATATTCCACTTCTAGAACAGGATTATCATCAATGTTGAGATTCTCCTGTATTGATATTAAATCCCTACCAATTCTAATAACAATTTGTACGAATCAGCAAGTGTTTTCCCCATAAGCTTAGAATCTGGAGGCACTGCCAACTGATTTGTATTCCCACTAATACCAAGTTTTTCCTGAATAGCTATTATATCCTTCTTCCTATATAAAAACACTCCATAAAACTGAACAAGCGTTTTGGTATTAATGTTCACCATAATTGCCATAATAAAGTAATATATTTAATAAGGAAATCTTGTGTTCAGAATATTGATCATCAACTGAAGCGATGATCTTTAGCTCAGAAGAATTTGCTGAGCCATGCACAGTGCTTTCAGCTAAATTGTGTGACAAAAATAGGTTGATCACATAATAGGTTTGTGTGATATTTTTGCATATTAATTTCACGTATATATATATGCTAACTAGTACCTTTATTTTTTTCTTAACAAATGTGAGAAAAATGTGAAAAGGGGTCTACATGTAACACAGGACTTACCATAAAAGTAAATACTGATGACAAAAGCATATGTTATGAAAGGCTGAGGGACACATAATTTTGAGAATTACCAGATGTAAGACTGAGTATGTGTCTTTCTAGTAGATCTACATGTGAAAAAGTATAAGAATTACATTTGCATGTGTTTTTATAGGGCTCTTAACATCATATGACAATGCTAATCACTATTTTTACCTCCTTATCATTTTCCTAACAGCAAGATATAAAGCATATAAAAGTATATGAAAGTTCAGCTAACCTTTTCGCAAAAATTTAAGGTATGTATACCAGAAGTTATATATATATGAGAGCGAGTTTTTTTCACTATAGGTTCATGAATTTAGGAATCAAGATGTCTTCTGATGCAGATAATATCATTCTCCAATGTCTTATTGTTCCTTGTGAAGAACTTCATGTTCTTTCACGTAATCAAGTTATACAAACAGTTACAGTTGGCAGAAGCTAAGCAGTTAGCGTACTTGAAGCTACAATTTAAAGCAGATTAGGAATACCCTTCAATACTATTCGCCTAAAAATTCATTAAGTTTATTCTAGTGAGATACCTATGTAACTGCGGGATTTGATTTTCACTTTTTTTAATGAACAATTTTAAGCAAACTATTTTCATATCGTCATTCAATCCTCCTTAGACTCAGAATAATTTTCTTATATCATGTAACAATATAGTCATGCAAATCGCCTTAATAAACAATTTTTATGTATTGTAGGTCGGCTACTGGCAACATTTTTTATTTCATAAATAAAGTATTATTTTATCAAACGTATATGAGAAATGAATCACATGAAATGGTAATTCTTATACAACATAAAAATCTATATTAATGACCAGTATTCTCTTTCCCAAACAGAAATATTTTTTATCTTACTCCAGAAAGTAACACTATTTTTGTCTGAGCCTAATAACCATATAAAAAACGCTATATCTGAAACTAGTACACCTTATACTTTAGCTTCCACTTCTACTACTGTTGTTGTAAATGAGACGGTCTCGCTGGTGAATGAAATTAAGAAATATGATATGGCTAAGCTTATAGAATTTTTGCAGGAACAGAGCTTAGGTCTTAGTGAGACGGCTATTAAAATTTTAGAAAAAGAAGAGATTAATGGCCGTACCTTCTTCAAGATAACTAAAGAAGAGCTTGAGCATCATGAAATGAAATTGGGACCTGCAACAGCTCTCGTAAATTTCGCTAAGAACTGAAATGATAAAAAATTAAAATTGTTTTCCTTATATAAGAGTTTGAAAGAAGTGTTGAAGAAATATGGCATTGACTCAAATGATACGGACACTATCTCACTATTTTCTCTACAAACTCACGAAATTAAAAATTCCAATAAGCACTTCGAGTATTGTATGGCAGAAATTTTAGTTAGGCTAAAAAATTATGGGTCTTTGGTCATGAATAGTTTAGAAGCTATGCGCAATAAGTATGTTGTAACGATTCTTCATATTATAATCAATATTACAACAGATTCTATAGGGGAAGAGCTCAGCATAAGACTTAAATACGAAGTAATTGGTGATGATAGCACAGGACAGATTAACTTCGCAATCAAGGTATTATGTTAATTTTTTTTCAGGAGCTGTCAATTTTCTGACATTTTTTCGAAGATATACTAATACTATACTTGTATTTTAGAAAGCTGAGAATCTTATTTGTGTTACTGAAGACAAACCAGAGTGAAATCTAATCAAGGGTTTGGCTCAGAATATTAAACAACTAGAGAGCTCATGCCAAACGAATTTGAGAAAATGGAAGTGGGAAGATGATGATGATTTCAATTATCTGTATGGCGTTGTTACTACAGCTCAGTACTGGCACTTTCTACTCTATACTTTAGGGAACATTTTACAAGGCAGTAAGTTACTATTTAGCATTGAATTTTTTAAAGATGCTTTGGTTAAAAAGTCTATAAAATATTAAACGTTATGTAATAGTGTTAAAAAGGTGTTAGGCGTAGTGGTAGGATTATTAAAGGATAGGACATGTGCGGAAGATGATCCTCTCTCAAAGAAAAAGGCTAGAATAAAGAAATATCATTTAAAAAAATAAAATATATGTTATATAGATGTCATGTATCACAGACTACGTTTTGAACTTTGTATTTATTTTTTGCATATATTAATAAAAAATTTTCTTGGCAAATTTTGCTTACGGGCTGTGAGGAAAAATCATAATATGATATTTTTTTATTTTAAATGCTTATATACAGTATATTAGTTATATATATAGATTATGTCATTGGAGCTTGAATTATTGAAACAGTATATCACTGAACTTAAAGCTAAGAACGTCAAGCTTGAGGCTAAGAAAGTTGAGATTAAGGTCAGGAATGCTGAACTTCTAAAGCAGGTTATGAAGAAAAATGCCAAATGTGATGTTGAAAATACTGAACTCAAGTCTAGAGTTAGGAAGCTTGAGGCTAGACTTGCAATATTAGAACAGGATGTTACTGAAGTAAATGGGCAACCACAGAATAATAAGGAAGTGATAGCAGAGGTATCAGCCATTGATATATCTGACTCTGTAATAGACCAGTAAAATGATGTCAATACTAAATCAATAGAAGATAAGGAAATAGGTAATTTTATTCCTAAAGAATCTGCCAACGTATCTGATTCAGTTATAGCTTAACCCAAACAGTGTAAACTCCCACAGATCGAAGAGGTGATCACTAAAGTGAATCATCAAGGGAAATCATTAGAGGATAGGAAAACAGATGCTTTCTTGGATGAGATGCATAAAAAAAAAGTTAGTAATAATATTAGGCAGAGGAAGCAGGAAAAAAGCTTCAGGGTGAATTAATTGTCTAGGAATCATTTCTAGCAATTAACACTAGTTGTATAATAGACCTCTCTACGACTAGCACTGAACTTGTAACTCTTTCAGAACAGGTAGTCGAAGAATCGATTCCAAAGGAATTATCTGCAGAGTCAGCGATGTCCTGTGAGTTTTCTGGAAAAAAGCAAAGCACTCTGTCCCAAAAAATCCTTTATAATCAGAAAGTAAAACAAGATTTAATATGTAAATTACTTGAATTTATTAGATGTCATGATTCCACATCCTTACCGAATTCTATATCTAGCAAATATATTTCAGATATTCCAGTTGACGCTAACATAACTTCAGGTTCTGTATCTCATTTAGCTCATTTATTTGACAAGGCTGAAAAAACTGGTTGGAAAGAAAAATTACGATAGTATTACTATAATGAGGAATATGAAAAAAGGTTGTAACCCTTAGTTCTGAAAATAATATTAGTGATCAAATGGCAAGAATGCAGATTTATGATGAAATGGAGCTGTATCTTTCCGGTAAAAAAAGAGTATTTGCGTAAGATGACACAAAAGGCTAAAAATATCTATACATTGTTCAAAGAAATAGGAATAGATAAAATTGGAGTAGTTACATCTAGCACTGATGCGATCTCTAGGCTAACTGATGCATAAATCCAGAATATAATAAATCTTTATACTGATGAACTAACCAAATCTCAAAAATTGATCAGCGTGAACAATTATTCACATGCACATGAACTACTGGCTGAGTCTGGATCAAAAAAATCACTAGATATCGGAATAAGCACTCTACCTAAATCAAAAACCAATCAGACTAATGTATGAGCCCAATCTAAACCAACTTATGATTGCACTGATTTTTGTAACAAAACATTGGATCAATATTCCAACTTATATAGAGAATATAGTAGTGAAAACTTCGATTATTATGGTATTACTAATGAGACATCATGCCCATTATGCAGTTTAGATCATGATGATGAGGAAAGTATAGAAGGTATGTATAAATCTGGATCTTACTTTATTAAATGTGAACAGCGTGAAATTGAGATAACTGCATAGTCTCATTATTTTATAATATATTCTATTACTCACGCTTCATTGTATGATATTTTTTTTAGGACTAATTATGTCGACTATACCTAATTTAAATTAATCTGTAATCATAGAAAAAAGGAAACATGACCAAGTCTGATAAAGTATTAACCTCTGAATATCTGGATTGGCATGCCAAATTAACTGATTTACCAAGTGTTTTGACAGATAGGGTTCGGTCCAGCTTATACAAAAAATATAAAAAAGAAACTGGGCATGAACCATGGCAATTATCAGAAGGTCACCTTCTCATAAATTCAAAGCCAGAAAACAAAGTATCCGATTTATCTTTTTCTGAGCAATGTGAAGAAAAAGGGCCTATTACCTTCAAAGCAAAACCTGATTCAGAGTTAATTATCAAATCTGTGTTAGAGCACTTCCCATACTTGAAATTCCGAATAGTTTTAGAGGGATTGATAATTATGATTTTACATCACCTCAGCCGTGGAGCTCATCGTGTCCTATTTGTGATGGAAAACATGGAAATTATGGATTACATGGCTCATAGTACTGCGAAAATGGGAATCAGTTCCCTTATGATCCTGAATTAGCGAAGTTGTATTCTCAGGATAAGTTGGAATATTGTCTTACCTGCAACACTTCAAGCAATAAACTCAAGTACGTGATCGTAGCATAGGCCAGTCATGTATTTATTTTCTTCCCAAAGGTTCCAGCACAATAAAGATATAAATTAGTATACAAATTAATTATTGTTAACGTAACGAAATGATGTATTATACTCTTTATTGATACAGTATATACAGTCACAATGATACAATACGTATATTTTTGGAGTCTAAATAAAATATACAGGATAGATAAAAAAATTACAGTATATAAAATACATCACAGTCACAATGATACAATACATATATTTTCGTGAGAAAGGGGAGTCTACGTAAAATATACAGGATAGATAAAAAAAATTACAGTATATAAAATACATCACAGTCACAATGATACAATACACATATTTTCGTGAGAAAGGAGAGTCTACGTAAAATATACAGGATAGATAAAAAAATTTTGAAATATTTTCTGGAATTCAAAAAGAAGGAAAACAAAAAGGCCTCCCATCAGCAGAAACTAGAGGAGGGCAATTACCTGAAGCACAACAACCTTTGGTGAAATAATTGCCTTGATCACAGCAGATACTTCCACAGCATTTAGAATTCTTTGGACAAGTAATACAACACCCGCTGTCAGAAGTACAACATGTACCCGTGTTTTGACATTGTCCTTGAGATGGTGATATCAATGCAAAGAAAATGATAGTAAAGACCAATAAAATAGTTGAATTTTTCATTGTTGTCTTAATTTTCATAAGGATGTCCTGTTTTAACATATCTGTGGTTTTTAACAAGACCAAATTAACTGAGCAAGAAGTTTTTAAATTATTCAGGTTTATAAATACGCAGAAGATATTTGGTAAAATTTCTTGCCGAAGAATCGGGGTTATGCGACATAAGATTGGCATATATATTTGCATTATTTTTTTTTCTCTAACTCGATTTGCATGTCATGTCTCTGGCTACACTATTATCATGTCAATAAAACAATATTCAGATATAGACATTTCTTCAAGCAATCATTATTTTGCATATGAGGTTTGGGGATGCATATGCTAATCTTTCGTCATTTTTATTGATTTACAAGGGATTAGCGAATGACGAAATGCAGTGTGTAATTGCTGGTAAAAATCTGGAAAATGTTTTCTCCTGCGAAATTTACAAGTGATATAAAAGAGAAAAAGAGAATGATCATTTTTCGCTTAAGACTCTTCAGCCATACACAAAGACGGTATGGATAGAACACACATCGTAACGCTCGCAAAAAATATCCTCCGTTATACTAGCACCTTTTCTACGCATATCGGTATTCCAGATGTGAATCTATGCTCATTATGTGAAAAAGAGATTTATTCACTTGCATCGAACCCGTCATACAAAGAATTTACCATAGCTTCATGTGGACACATTTTTCACCAGAAGTATCTCGAAAAGTATCTGATGATTATAATAGAGATATTGAAACTTTTCTCTCACCGGATCTTTTTAAGGAAAAGGGATCGCAAGACAAACCTTTAACTACTGATGAAATATCACATCTATGCCGGTGGATTCAGAAAATGCAACTCCTGTGGATGAGGATTCCAATGTAACTGTTATGAAGGAGTTAGGATTATTAGGCAGAGAGAAACAAAGTTCGTCTAGGACTGCTGACGTCGCTAAAGAAACTTCTGACTGGGCAACTAACCCTATTAAGGTTGTTAGCACTATACCTGGCAATTCCAACAATTTGGATGACTCAATTTCAAAGGACTCTAGCGGACAAATCTAACGCTCTATATGTGAGAAATGCTCTAAAGCTATCACCATAGATTTTCAGAAAGATACCGTCTTTTTATCCTGTAATCACGCTGTGCATTTAGATTGTATTAACGATCTATGCAAAAGGTATCCTACCTGCTCAGCCGAAGATTTGGAATCATTTCCAGTAGAACAGGCTTCAAGTACTACACAGAAAAAACGTACTAGGGAAGATAATAACAAATCATGCGAAACGCTTCTCAGCTCCACATCTACTTTCAGAAAAAAGGCAAAGAAGACTAAGAAGCCTATTAATCGGGATCAATTCCCTACATTGCAAAGACTGATTAGAGAATTGACTACTACTGATCCTGAAGATGAAGAAATTTTACAAACTGAACCCGCCTCTGAATCGAACAATGACTCAAATGTCTTCCTCAACCTATATAATAAGATTGTTGCCGGTGAAGAATTACTTTGATTTCGGGAAAGCAATGAAGAAAAGGTATGATCATTATAGATTGAATCATGAACATTTGGCGTCTCAA